CTCTCTTTGCAAACACTGAATTCACATTTTGCATACAATTGTTTTAAAATACCTGTTTTAGTATCAAGTTTATAAAAGCCATCCTTTGTTTTACTAAGAACCACAGCTAAAATTGAACGTGCATCAGTTTTTGCATCAATCTTCTAATTTTTCAAGGTCTTCTTCAGTTTTTATCGAATGTAATACACTTTGTGGTATAATCGAAGAAGACTGGAAGAGTAGAAAAATTAGAAGATTCACAAGAGACTGTGATTATGAAATCACAGTCAAATCTTACTCAAGAGGACATTCCGTTATCCCCTGCTTCTACAGAATCTCCTATAGAAATACAAGAATTTATCGATAGTAATTTTAAACTGTTTTCTATACCGTTGATTGATGATACAGTTACGAAGTATATTCATTTACCCTGCACCTCCAAGGAATTACCTCTGCAAGTTGAAGAAGTCATCACTGAGTTCAGCAGAACTCAGTGATGACTTCAGATCTCAACTTCAGCAGAATCGCCATCACAGTTTCGTACAGAGCCTGTAAAGAGCACTATACAAGACATAGTCTGTATTGTTTGCTCAAAAGCAGCATCAAGTGCTCACAAGTGTAAATCAAGTGATATGTTTGTTCACGCAGTTTGTGGTGAAGTAGATCCTAAAGAGGAAGGGTATGGTAAAAATGTATTGTGCATCATCTGTAAAAAGAATATGGATCAGAAAATACAGAGTGATGAAGCCAAGAAATGTTTAGAAAAGCAAGCAAAGAAAATGTTAGCAGTTTCTAATGCAAAGCACCCAAACGTCGATGAAGGTTTCGCTGTGAGAATTAAAGTACCCGAAGAAGACAGAGCAAAAACTGATGCACGTTCAATTTTAGCTGTGGTTCTTAGTAAAACAGAGGATGGCTTTTATAAACTTGATACTAAAACAGGTATTTTAAAACAATTGTATGCAAAATCTGAATTCAGTGTTTGCAAAGAGAGATTTTTAACGAAAGAAGATGGATGTCCCTGCTGTAGAAATATCTTTACGTCAAACAGCAATAAAACAATCCCTTGGTACTGGGCAGGGTTTCAGAAAATGTGACTGCAAATCTAAATGTACCACAAATAGGCGTGCTCGTCGCAAAAACCAATCGCTATGTAATTCAAAGTGTCACCAATCTTTAGATTGCACTAATAAGTAAGTACAATTTTATCATATGTTTTGCAAATTCATTTCCCTAATTGTAATAATATATTAAACCTTTTGATTTTTGTATTAAAGTTTTTTAATTGATTGATGATTGATTCAATCAACTAATTTGTTGATTGTTTGATTGTATTAACTTTAGATATTGAAAATTAAATAAATAACATTATGTTAATTTAAGCGTACAGAAAACAACGTTGCTGTTGTTCCAGCAAAGATCTTATTTTCACTTTACCGAGTGCCTAGTAGGTAATTCGCAGATTACCTAGATAATCTGCAGATTACCTAGGTAATTTGAGAAATGGAATATTTTCGCAGCTTTAACGGATCACTCTAGTTAATCTGCAGATTAGCTAGGTAATGTGAATATTAACAGATTTCGAGCTTTAGCGGTAACATATATAATACTGTACAGACGAAAGCAAACTCAATTTAGCCGCTCCATAGCGTGGCGCAGGGCGGAGAAAAGTAGTTCGGCTGCTCATCCACTATTGGTCCAGATTCTATCAATCTTGTCGCGAAACGACGTTTTAGGAGCTACTTTATACGAATGTTGCTACAATTTTTTTGCTACGTTATAGGAATTGTCGTTATAGGAACGCACGTTGTAGGGGGTCGACTGTACGTAGTTCTCGTTTATTGAAGTGATGCAAAATAAATTAATCTTTTATTAATTTTAAAAATATGTTGATAAATTTAATATATAAAGATGGTGTGATCCTTGATATATTTAAATGCGAAGCAGTCCCAAAGATTAAGATGTGGAGAGTATGCGCTTCAGTCAACCTTTCTTTATAATGTCAAGCAATTATATTTAACTCATTATAACACTAACAATACTGAATAATCATTAAACTAGATAAATATTGTTTGTAATATAAATGTCTAATAAAACAGATCTTATTAATAAGACTTATTGTACTGGTATTCAGTTTCTGCAATTGAGGAAAACTTATTCACAGAAAACAAACAATCTGTAATACCAGGTGAACAATAAAGATTGTTTGTTTTCTCTGAGTGTTTTTCAATTACAGAAATCGAANTGTCTAATAAAACAGATCTTATTAATAAGACTTATTGTACTGGTATTCAGTTTCTGCAATTGAGGAAAACTTATTCACAGAAAACAAACAATCTGTAATACCAGGTGAACAATAAAGATTGTTTGTTTTCTCTGAGTGTTTTTCAATTACAGAAATCGAACACTAGTACAATAGGTTTTATTAGGAAGATCTGTTTTAGTATTCAGTTATGTCCTATTTTATACAGTTTGTTATATAAAGGCATATGATTTAATATGAATTAACAGATAGATATTATTTGCACCATGCTTTTACAGAGTCATTCTTAATATAAGAGAAAATTTCAAAGACATTCGTTTAAATAATTTTAACTATAAAAAAAAACATACAAACGTGTGATCTGAACGGCATTGTTGAAATATTGATCACTTAAAAATTACTACCGTCAACTGTCATATTGTATTCTGTCTTCGCCGCATTTATTAGTACATGCGCTCGCAAATAAAGAGAATGTATCGACTTATTTCACAGGATGCAACAATATGATTTCGTGTCTGTCTACGATATCATTAGAGAACCATATTAGTCGTTTTATAATTTAAAATTTATGACGTTTTAACACATGTTTATAGGCTTCTTATTGTTGAAATTATGCGAAAAATTACTTCTTTGAATATTATTCTTATAACATCATACACATACAATGCGAAAAAGTGAAAATAACATACTTTGTGTTTTACACAAAGTATGTTATTTTCACTTCTTCGCATTATTTATTACACTCTTTCCTTGTTCGAATTTATTATCTATGTACTCATTGGCACGATTAATAAAAAAATTTTAATCTGCAGGCGTTAATTTGTATTACACGTAAAAATTTAAAAATATATTAATTTTTTTATATATTAGGCTTACGAAACAACTGCACTAACCGTCACGTGGACGCTATACTTATTAAGTCAACACAAAGACATTCAAAAAAAGGTTCAGCAAGAGTTGGACGCCATATTTGAAAATGATACCGATCGATCTATTGAAAATGAAGATTTATACGAAATGAAGTATTTGGAATGTGTCATAAAGGTTGGCAATTTTTGCGATATTTATGATAACGTGTATATGATATCAGTGTGATTATTATAAGATTAATAATGCATTTAAAACTTTTATACTTTTACTGGTAAATTAATTTTTAAATACTGGCAAACCTTACGCAATCTCAAACGTTATATATGCCCTTAATTCGAATAAGTCAGTATATATTATTATATTTCTGGCATTTTGTAACTGTAAAAACTTTGATGTTGTTTTAAGATTAAATCATACAGCACACAGGCTATAAGCAAGAGTGTCAAGAGAAACAACCTGGGAAATTTGTCTGGAGAAACCTTAGAATTTATACTTGTTTTAGCTCTTAAAATATAACTATATTTTTGCTAACAAAATCTTTTTGTTTAATAAAAGTAGTACGTATTTCATTTGTTTAAAAGAGGTCTGAACATTGGTCCGCTGTATTTCACATTTTCTGCTCACGGCAATTTCAAGTGCTACCTACATCGCTTCCTAAAAAAGGGAAATGGACTTTGCGACTGCCAAGTAAAAGAGAGGGATGACCCTTTCCACATCATATTCACTTGTTCCAAATTCAACCAGTATCTTCAACAACTAAGAGACCTGACTACCCAAAAAGGGCACAACTGGCCTTGCCACCTCAGTGCATTCCTCGAGGACAAGGACACATACACCAATTTCGTCAAATTCATCAACAACCTAAACTTAGCAGACTATCACACCACAATTGCCACTCAAGACAAAATGCCAGCTAACTCTCCGAATAGGCACAGCCAGCCTCCATAACTCCAGGTCCCAAGGACAACAACAAAGTGCCACATTCTTCTAGGACTTAATCTGATTCCTCCATAAGGGAATCAGATTTCTACTTTCTGTTTCTACTTCCTCGTATCACTCTTCAACACCCATCTTTTGCCTTCAATCTTAATGTAAGTCTAATCACGGCGCCAATTATCGTTTAGGTGTATCATCTATCGGTCACTATGTACATACATCATAAATGTAATTTTGCAATTCTTTGTTTTAATAAACAAATCTCAGTCGGCACCCCTCTTCCTCTTCCCCCTTCTTTTCCATTCCATATTCCTTTTATCTTTCCCCTCCTTTCATTACCCCACCTCCAGACCTCTCCTTTTCCTTTCTTCTTATAGGGCTATACCTCTGAGTAAGGCCTTACTCCCCCTTTTACCAACTGTATTCCACATTTCATCCAAAATCTAAACAGTTCTGATCACGAACTGGGATTATCGAAAATAACTAGTTGTTTTATTATAGGCTATTCAACAATTATACTTGTCAAATACGAATACAGTTTCGATATTTACATTATTAAAAATAATTATTTGAAATATTTAATTAATGTAAACATATAACTAATTAAATGCAAATTACAAAATTGACTCTTTTTCTATTTGATAGAGTTTTTGTTGAATTCGAACTGATTTTTCATAGTAGAAAAAAATTAATAGAATCAACTGCAATACCAGAACTACTTTTGGAATAAATTACATTGTATGTGGTGCTATCTTTTATGAGAATATGAGAAATGTTAATTATAATACTTTTAAATATTACACAAAGGCAAAATAAAAATTTTAAGAGTAGTGGTGAGTTATATATAAGAGAAACATTGTAAATGACATTAACGAGTAAACCGTTCTTAAAATCCGACCACACACGAGATACGACACATGACCCTCTTTTATTTTCTCACCCCTCGACCTTTAACCACGAAAATTGCATAGGTTTAATTCCCGTTACATTAAAGCTACCATCCAAATTTCTTCTTTTAATTTTCAGCCTATCTAGAGATATTAAACTAAATAAATTCACATTTTACAAAATTTTTTTCGTGGTGTTTATATTTGGGATCTTGTAGATGTGCAAAACCAGTCGGTGGGCAAATTTTGACACGAATTTAATACTTCGAAACACGTAGAGAAAGTAAAAGTATGTTAAGGAAGTTCTTTCAGATTTCTTTTATTTTCATTACTGTTATCGAATTTCTTCCAAACCTCTAACCTATTTTATGAACAATTATTATAATCGTAAAAGTTTTAAATTATAATTTTGATTATTATAACTTTATCTCAGAAATGTGTATTTTAATATATTCGAATAACGAAATTTATGTTATCTTGTTGTAGGAGACCATGAGGCTTTACCCACCTGCTCCCACAATTTCTAGGAAAATCAAAAAATCTATAAAATTAGGTAAGGAAGAATATTTTTCGATAATATACTTTTTTTTTTTTTTTAATTTCTCTTAATACCGGAACTTTTTTAACTCACGACCAACCGAGTGAGAAACACGATACAGGCGAAATGATATCACAATATTTTAATAACAAGCAATAGTGGTTAAATAAATATAAAAATATTAGAAACAAGTGAGTAAATTTGTGTATTGGAGACAAAAATTTTCATGCACTCTGTATTTCTTCTGATTTCACTATTTTTGGTGTATTCGAGTAGTGTTTGCGTGTCTGTTGTCTTTCCATTATCTGTGTGATTTGTTTCCAAATGTTGAATGTGTTTAACTTTTGTTTCTGGGTAATGTTCAAATTTGAAAATTTAAATACAATTCTGAAATTGAAAATGTAGGACATTCGGAAGTAACAATATATACCGGTATATTCATTACCTTTGTAAAGACAATGTTACTTTCGTCAGTGCCAGAATTCCAAACATCACAAAGAAGGCACTAATGTTTACAAGAGGTACACGAGCAGATGTAAACGTTAGGTTCTTGCTAATAATGTATTTTAATTAATAATTAAACACAAATTTTCGTTCAACAGACTTTTCTCCCATCCTGTGATCGAATATCTATAATAAAGTAGTAACAAGGCATTGGCATTCGTAATTCCAAGTTTCACAAAATTTAGGACTTAGAAAACAATAGATTTATTGTTGATTAAGAAACTAAAAACTCAAAATTTAGCACTATTAGATTTCACTGTATCGAATATGAAATATTTTAATTTTTATTCTTTCAGGAGATAAAGAATATTCCAACGACTGGATATTCGTTGTTTCTATTTTCCATCTTCATCGCAATCCAAATGTCTTCGAAAATCCAAATGTTTTCGATCCTGACAGATTTTCCAAACGCTCACCTTACTCCTACATCCCATTTTCGGCAAGACCCAGGATGTGTCTGGGTGAGGCACTTCAGCATAATAGAAGGTAAATTTATTAGATGTCAAGTTTAATTAAGATATACAATTATTTCTAACAGGGTATTACTTGGCCATGATGAAAATTAAACTGATTTTGGCAAGTATTTTAAGAATGTTGAAGGTAGGATACGTGGAAAAAACGATTCCAATGAAGTTCAGAATTAGTCTTAATCCTAGTCGATCACTCCAACTCCAATTTAAATCAAGAAAACCGTAAATTTTTTCTATAAATGTATACTCATAAATTGTTACCGTTAAAAGCATTTTAATGTTTGGCATTTTATTCGAAATAACAGTGCTTTTGCTTTTTCTATGCAAAATTTCAGAAATATTTGACAAAAGGCGCCGCAGTTAATCTTCAAAGCGAATAAACGTCTCTAAATTTTTTTTTTCATTTTTTTATGTCTCAAGGTACACTGAATACGAAAATTTCAGTGTAAAACTGTGTGAGAAAGGTCATTCCTGATCGACCGCCATTATATGTCTTGTTAAAAATCTATTGATTCCCTAATTGATATCTATAAATATCCAACTACTGATATATAAATGTTTTTGTTATCACCAATTTCTCTTCTAAGTGTTAAAAAGTTGGTGATAACAGAAAAATAATATCTAAATAGAAATATATGCTAGATATAGAATAATACTTATTGCTAAGTGATTAATACATACCCAGGATGTAGAAGTCGAAAACAGTTCACCTGCTACAAGACAACCTCCTACAAATGCCAGAGAAACAAATGTGAGAAAAAATTTGTAATCTGGATCCACGTTGACGAATATCGCAGCATATAAAAGGATGCGCCCTAGATGCATATAAAAACCATACACTACAGGTGTTAGCATTTCTAATTCTTCGTTCGTATTTTTTTGAAATTCCCGTATCTCTATATATTTTCTAAAATATTCTTCTTACTTTTTATTCAAATCTGTATTTGATCATTTCCTATCCGCTGCTTCTTTAGAAAGATTCTTTAGTCTGTTCATTATAATAAAAAGCAGACAGCAAACAATATAGCAAATTGATAAAATATGTGCTTTAACATAAATATATACAAATCTAATGCTGACAAAACAAACGAAAGCTTCGGTGTTTGATCCGTTTTGTTCTTTTTACTTCTGAGTATACAACAATTTACGAGAGAATTGAAATACATAAAAATACGGAGAATGAAACAATAAATAAAGCAATTTGCAGAATTTGCCACTTACCAATGACTCTACATTCTTCCACGTAGCTAGTTTTATAAAAATGCAGAGATGCAGAGAAGGGCAGTGTTTACTACTGCACCGTGTAATGCGTAATATTTTAAGTAACGAACAGTTTGTGAGCAAATAAAAGTCAATAATTAATATCCAATTGATATAAAAAATAACTAGTAACTACAACACCGCTTCGATGCAGTCACAATATATTTTGAACAGTGTGGAAAGTTTTGATTTTCCATTCTTTACCCTTTGTCTGATACAATGGCATGGAACTACGAAATCGATTCTTAATACTTTTGCCAGATCAAAATAGGATTCAAGATGACTCTAACACATCTCAATTGTTGCTCGGGATAATTCATCTT